ACTTCACTTGGGAAAATAAATAATTTATGCATTATTATTTGTACATTTGCCCAAAAGCAGTCAAAATTACTTCCTTGGGCAATCTAGTGTTAATATGGCCCTCGGTGGTTAACGAGTTTGATATGCCTACTATAAGATAACTATCCTAATTTCACGTCATAATTCGTTAGAATAGAAAAATATGCAGTGAGTAGAGATTGCGACATGAACAGAAACTGAGATATTTACCTCGTGCACTTTCGCATACACGTCTTGGGGGTTTTTAAATTCTCTATGAATCTAAATAAAGTCCGCAGTTTATTAATAACAGAGACAGTAAATTTGACACACCGTTAATATAATAAATAGCGCAATAATAATAGAAACGTTAAGCCGCAGAGATACCTGACGCGCGATAACTATCCTGGCAGCGTGCAATCTCGTATGCTAATAATCGCGTTATGATCGTTATTCACTTCTACTAGCCTCTTGACTCTGATAACTCGTACACGATATCCTTGATCTTTAAAGCCACCGTTCGTTCTCTATTGACTGATTGCACGCTCTTATAAAATATACGCTTGTTATATGGAAAAATTAGACGAAACATTTCGCGATCGGAGATAAGGGGAACTCTCGCGGCTGGACGTTACCTTGTCTTTTGGAGTAATGAAAGTTCCATTGGTTTTAAAACAAAGTCGGATGGAAGATCGTATTATGTAAAGAACTTATATTTTCTCTTGTAATAGGGCAACGTTTGTGTCATCGTGGATGACCTGTTCGTATCAATCGTATAACTACTGCGTATTTACTTCGCGCTATTAAAAATATGAATTTGTTTTAGTTCAAAAGAAGGCAGCTAGTCACTTTATGAGTAAATAAATAAATAAATAAATAAATAAATAAATATGGTGCCTTATTGCGAAATCATTGAAATCCCAAGTACGATCTTCTCTTTAGCAACGAGTGAAAGATGGAAATCCGTCTTGTCAGTTCTGTTTAAACGGTCGGCCTTATTAATGTTTCTGTACTTTCATTTTTATATCCTTGAAGAAAATATGTTTCACAAATTCCCATTAAGCGGCCCACTCATAAAAGCCAGCAGGTTTAAAAGAAACTGTAACTTCTGCCTTATAAATGTAGGTTTAGGGCTGCTGTACTTTCACCTTTCGAATATAATCGACCGTTTCAAGAATCGCTTAATCGAGTTCAGGGAAATACGTCAATTAACGGCGATCATTAAAACTCCGTCCCTAATTCGTTACACTTTCCCTGAAAAAGAAACCTTCGACTTTGATTCCTGCAACCCGTTCTAAATTCAGGAAGGCAAATATGAAAACTGAAGCAATGTGTGTCTAACGCGAATTGACTATCGATAATACTTATCGTAATGACACGAACTTCGAACGAGGAGGAACACGAAGAGGAAACAATAGCTGCGATGTCAAGAAATTCCTGTTCGAACTCTATGATAGTCCATATTCTCGTAATCGGTTATCTAAAAGTCGTGTGAACGAACCGTGACTCTATTAAGGGTTATTAAGGGGCTAAATGTTCTATCGCGATTAAAATTCCTTCTGTTTGATCTCGCGATGCTCTAGTCTGATAGTTTTCAATAAAACTGGACTCACAAGTCACACAAATAAACCAACGCTTTTTATGAGTACTTCAAGTCGAGAAACAAAATTTATAATAAAATTTAATTGTTATTAAATAAATAAAATTTTAGTGAAATCCAGACAGTATTTAACGATTAATTATAAGAATAAGGGTTATTTTCGACTACGTTCTTTTATGGATTTTCGTAATCTCGGGTGAGTCAGGCGAAACCGAAAATACAATGTTGTAAATTAGCCGAATCACTGTTAGATTTCCACGTACATTAAACAGATCGGCTCTCTCTCTCTCTCTCTCTCGCTAAAGATAATATTATTTTACGGAACCCCGCTCGTACATATGTATGTATGTATGTAGCTACGTACGCCGGTACATGCGATTTGTATATTTGCAAGAAAGTCGCGTGACTTATCGAATGCTCGTGGAAGATATACTCCAGGCATGAGGCTTTAAAAATATAACGATTTAAGTCGCGATGTTTTCAGCCATATTTTTTTCTAGACGATTCTTCAGGGAATAAAACGAAGTGAAAGTAACGCGTGTAACACAGATTGTTACGTGACATAATGCAATTAAA